ATGCTTAGTAAGTGTTGTTTCCAGGAATTCAGTCCAACATTTTTTCTGTAACAAAGCATTGCTCTTGAAGTGCTGGTAAAGCATTCTGGTTAGTAAAATTGCTTTTGTTAATTTATGAGTCGAAGAGAAATAAAAACACTGACCACTCGGGAGACCTCCAATGAAATGGAAAGACGATATTACAAAGAAATTGGGTAACACCTGGCAAAGGAAAGCAAGATCAAGGACCGAATGGAAACGCATTGTGGCCAGCAATGTTACAAACGTTTGATAGCCTGGCCAATGCAGGTAATCCAGGTATGAGTCAAAGAAACTGACTGTTTCACGAGGAAATTCTTCCGCAAACCACGATGAATTAGAGGAGGAAGAAAAAAATGAAATTTTTCTGAATTTTTCAGCTGCAAGGAGAATTTTTCGCTAGACGTATGATCAGAAGCGAATTAGTTCGTTTCGCTAACTAACTCGACGATCGTAATTCTTCGTTAAAGCCGCTCGAATAACAGGTGCAAAATGGGCTTGGATTGACTCAAGTGTGGCGAGAATTTCTTCGATTTCGTTTTGCTCTTCAGTTGAGTTCCCGTAAAAACCTTCAAATGATTTCAGTCATAAATTCAGCACTATCAAAGTAAATTGAAGCTTTTCAAACGTATACATTTCTGGCATTTTCTCGTGAATATAAATCATTTTACTTTCGAGACGATATACTTGCGTGAGTCACTTCAACGTTTGATTCAATCATTCGTTAACCGATTCACAAATCAGCAAGCATTATATTTATCTTCATTCGACTAAAAAACGAACCCAACTCGGCTGCCAGACGTCGTCCAATTTCGAGCGCACCCACTGTGATTTCGCCACTTTTATGATTGCGCAATACGGGTAGTAATGTTTCGTCGGGAAAATTCTCTGAAACATAAACATTTCATTTGTTTTTCATTTGACATTTCTAAGCATTTCATTTCATTTGTTATTCGAATGCATTGATCCAAAGGGAATACGTTGAGCACGTGACATTTCCAAGCAATCCTAAACGTCCTGAATCTCGGGATTCAAAAATGTTTGGAAGTTTGCACACACTATGATGGCTACTTCATCAGGTGTTTATGGCTGATTCGAATTTACGCAGTGTTCTTCACAGGTATTTCTTTCAAATCAAGCAAGTAACCTTTGGTTTTCATTTCTCGCCACTGTGCAATCGTCAAACGATGATCGTTAAAATTTCGTCCAGCCAAAATGAGCATCAGGCGGATGCATTCTGTTCTACCGCGACAATTTAATCCCAACAGCTCCAGCTCTTCATCTGCCATCACCCTTTCGTTTCAAACCGTACTGACTGATTCTGCAAAAGATGGTTTTCCGAACAAGAAGAATTGCGGCTCTTCGAATTCATTCGTCGGAATTATGATCATTCGAACGCAGCGTGCTGATCAAATCGCGAATTTTTTCAAAACTTTTGCATTGCATAATCT